CGGATTTCCTACTTTATTCAAAGTTGTTAGTATGCCTTATCGTATATAAATAAGTCTCTTGAACATTTTAATTAGCATTTGACACGGATACTATGTACCTGGTAGCACTTGGATTTTACCGTGTGAAAGTGATTTGAAATATGTGGGCACAAGGTTCAATATGTGTAAGTTTGGAAGTTCTAACTTATAATTTGAGATTACGAGAAGTGGTGCCTGGGTAATTCTTGTTGAAATTCGTGCACTAGGAATGATTTGGTTGATTGAGTTGTCATCGTTTTTCCTTACTTGGACACATTCATATTTCATCAGTACCCCGACTATGTTGTTGCTTAACTGCGTGGTTGTTTCTCGTTGTTATTCGTGCTCCCATTATTTTCACTGTTGATTGTAATTTGAAACTCTTCTGCTATTGGCCTTATATTGATGTTCTTTCCTTGTTAGCCTTATGTTATATCCTGCACAAGTTTACATGTCTGGTAGGTGTCTTGACCTGGCCTCATCACTATTCTACTGAGGTTAGGCTTGATACTTACTGGGTACTACTGTGGTGTACTCATGCTAAACTTTTGCACATTTTTGTGCAGATCCAGGTAAATTCGGATCAGGTTGGTTTTGAGACTTATGTCTGTACGGCTGGAGCCTTCAAGGAATACCTGCTGGACGTTCGCGGGCTCCGAAGTCACCTTCTGATGTATTTTATTTTCATTGTTTCCTATCATTCTGGGACAGTGATATATTGTTAATTCTAGTGACTCTTAAAATAACTTATGACTTGTACTACCGATTTTGGCATATTGTATCGTGTTGAGATTGTTGGCTCCTTTTAGAAATTTCGGTTTCATGCTCATTAGTTATTTGGTTAAAAATCTATTATTTAATCAGCAAGTGTTAGGCTTACCTAGTTTTAGAGACTAGGTGTCATCACGACGTCCTGAGGTGGGAAGTTGGGATCGTGACAAAAAGCTTTTCAACAACATCCTCAGTTGGGAAGATGTATTCCCTTTTAGCTTCTAGAAGATTTGGATAACCAGGAATAATAATTTCTTCAACAACAAAAAAAAATATTATCCCTACTTCTATTGTTTTGGCAAAGGCAACTGAGTATGTCACTATCTCAATAAACCACCCACCCACAAAAGATAAGATCATATGGGTCAAACTAGGGGTGGGCGTAAAAACCGATAAATCGAAAAATCGGACCGTACCGAACTAATTCGGTTCTTCGGTTTCGGTTCTTCGGTATTCGGTACGTTATTTGGTATTGGTATATTAATATTTCGGTACTTCGGTTCGGTTCTCGGTATTAGGGTATTGGCATTTCGGTATTTCGGTATATACCAAAATACCAAACTTTTTAAGTTAATACCTGAATTCTTCTGAGTGCTCATGCTTGTGGCTTCCCTTGATGTTGGATTCCACATCTGCAGACCTATAAAGAATTGACTCATCACTAGGAGGTTTTAGATTACTGTTGATATCTTTTATATTTATTTTCTTTTAATATTTAAAATGGCTCTTTCTCTTCTGCGAGTACGTGAGCCCTCTTATTATTTTTCTTTTTCTTATGAGTTTCTCTTCTGCGTCGGCCTCTACTTGGCTTGTACGCTCTTAGTCTCTTATTGTCAATGATTCTTTTTCACCCTTTTTCTTCTTTTCTTGTTCTCTGTTTTGTTACGGTAACACTAACAAACTTTCTAAAGTGAGTCTTGAGAGTAGAATATGGAGGTTGCCAAAAGGTTTCAAATATCCATACAATAGAAGTACAAAATAGTAGTATTTAAAAAAGACACGATTTCATTAATGTATTAAATTGAAACCGTACCAAAACCATACAGAACCAAATAAGAAATACTGAACCGTACCGAATTACTTTGGTATGCACAGTTGATAAACCGAATACCAAAGTACCGAACCGAAGTTTTTAAATACCGTACCGAAGTACCAAATGCCCACCCCTACTCAACACTGATGGAGCAACTGTTGGAAATCTTGGGAAGGGAGGTGCGGGAGTAGTTTCAGAAACTCCAACAACAACTGGGTTCTGGAAAATGAGGGTGCAACCCAAGATTTTTTTGATAGTACAAGATATGTGGCAGTTCCTCCGATGTTTGCAAACCAAACTTTTTGGGCATGCATCTCAAGAACTGTTTTTCCTAAAATAAATTTGGATTGTAATATTAATATTCTTGATCACAGCCCAGGGGAGATCTCATACCCCCGAAAACAATGCTACTGTTTTATTTTAGTTGGTAATATATATATATATATATATATATATAATAGTCTAGTTAACCAAAAAAGGGCATTCTTGTAATTTAGTTTGGGATGGGTTAAGTCTGGACACGTGGCAAATTTTGATGATCGATAATCAATCCGATCAGAGATTGGTTCTTCAATAGTTCCTATTACTTAATAAGGACAAATATAAGATATCTTTCATGAAATGATCTCTTGTGACCACTTACAGTTTAAATAAAAATTAATTATTGTTTTAGATCTTTTGTGTGATTTTCAGATATTTTTTGGCCCTTTGTAATGGCGAGGATAATTTAAATAATTATTTTATATAGTATATATTAGATGTATGAAAAAGAATTGTGTATGTGAAAAGTAATGGGATAATACATAAATACCTCCTCTAACTGGTCTTTGTTTTTTCAACTAAACGCTGTAACTTTGGGAAGGTCCTATTACCATTGAAATAATCTAAAGATATGTTAATACCACCTTTTGTGCTTATGTGGCATGAAAAGTGGTCACACACCCTGCCAGTGCGTGAGAAGAAAATTTAAATCCCAATCAATGTATTTTTCATTTCTTTTAGGTGTTATTTTTCCCCCCTTTTTTTTTCTTTTTTTTTTTTTTTTCCCATCTTTTTCCTCTTCTCCAACACACTGATTTTACCACGGAAAATATGAACGGCGACCGANCCCCTTTTTTTTTTTTTTTTTTTTTTTTTTCCCATCTTTTTCCTCTTCTCCAACACACTGATTTTACCACGGAAAATATGAACGGCGACCGAATTCACTCACTGTAAATTTGTTCGGCCACTAAACTTCGTCACCAATTTTCTGCATATCTACACCTCGGTGAACCAACTATACCAATTACCACAGATCTTCTTCCTCTGTTTTTGTTATGAAAATTTCATATACATTTCAACAAACCCGAGCTATGCCTAATTAGCTAGCCCAAGTCTTGATTTACATCCCACCATCATTTTTTATCTTTTTCACCATTCCTCACAAGAAAAGTTATTTCTTTAATTGCGTTTTTCTTTAACAATTCCTCAGTGATCGGTTTTTTTCACGCACAGATCAATTTTAATGATAATTTGTAATACATGCCTGGTTTTGGCTTTCATTGCATAATCATTACCTTCTCCAGTCATCCTCATAAAAACCTTCTCATTTGAAAAGACAAAACTAATGTTAGGTCATGAAATGGAGGATGTCTTAGGCTGTCGGCTGAGTGTCGGAGCTTCCGATCTGCGTCGAGATTGTTTTTCCATTTAATTAAAGTGACAATGGAAGAATATTTAAAAAGTAAAAAAGAAAGCAAAAACAAATCCTTTTTAGTATTAAAAAGAAAGAAAAATGACGTGGAAAAATAAATATTGTGCGTGAGATACACAACCCGACTTTAGATCTGGTGTTGGGCTTTTAGGGTGGTATTAATACCACTTCAAATTAGTTTATGGAAATAATAGCACCTTCGTAAAGTTAAAGTGTATAGTAGAGAAAACAGAACAAGTTGGAGGGGTACATATGTATTATCCCAAAAGTAATTGGTAGGATTATTTTCTTAGCGTTGTTTGTTGATGATATAGTACTCATAAGAAATTAAATGGTTAGCAGCATTATAAAATAAGGCTATCTGAATAAGCAATATTCCGTACGTGCAGGGGTGACAAACAGGCCGGTTGGGTCAGGTCGGATATGGGAGGATCGAAAACGGGAAATAAAAAAATAGATAAATTATCTGATCCGACCCATATTTAATAAGGATAAAAAACAGATTAACCATGACTTCTTGAATATGATCACTTTTGGGAGAATTCTTATTCTCGCAAACTTGATAAACTCTCAATTTGAGGTTTTACAAATGTAAAAGTTAAACCCAATAGTTATTCATTGGTTATCCATTTTCTAAATGGATAATATGGTTCTTATCCACATTTGATCCGTTTTTAAAAAGTTTATTATTCAACCCATTTTTAATGGATAATATAGGCGGTTAACTGTTTTCTTTTAACCGTTTTGCCACCACTACGCATGTGTAATGACTATGTACACATGTCATGCTCAGTGGCAAAGTTAAGAATTTTTTCAAGGGTATTCAAACTTGAAAAAAGTGAAAAATTCTCGACAAAGAATGTTTAATATGTGTTATATATCTCTAAAACTTAATATTTTATTTATATACACATTGTAATTTTTTGACGAAGGGTGGTTAGTGACCACCTTTGTGACTCGTCTCTTGCTTTTCTTGTGGCCACTTATAATTTGAGCGAATGGTGGACATGCTAGATGCAACATTCGCTCTGCCAAAGTGTCCTTTTGGGAATTTTTTGAACAAGGTTCAAAGAGATATTCTTTCAAAAAGGTTATGTAAAATATTAATTGTTTAGATAATTGTAATTTTTAAGAACAACTATTGATCAACAAATTTTTTAGAAAAATTAGCAAAATATGTCAAGCAATTTTCCACACAATCAATTTCTCTGCTTGAACTGTTACTCGTTCGCAGTCTCAGTTTATTCTTTTCGTTTTAATTAGTATTACTCAACTGAGTTGTTATTGTTGTTAAAACTCCATCTAATGATGTGTTACTATTTAATTACTTTGGATCTTGTACTTGAATTCATGTTCAAAGTTCAATTGATCTGTCATGTGCTAAACCTAGGACACTACGTCAAAGTAAGTATCTGATACGGATTAATGTACATCTTAGACCCGACAAGTGTTTTCTTTTGTTCAATAAAGTCTGTGCTCCACAATTCTTCCTCTCACTCAAAAGACATTTGTTCTTCTTCTTCTTCTTTGAAGGAAATAATGGGTCATTTTTGGACTTTGATCACTCATCTTCATACTATTGCCGGGTAATATAACTTTTTTTAAGAAAATTCCTTTATCTTTTTCTTATGGAGTTTTAATCTATAGTTCTTGTTCAATAATTCTTCAAAAGTGACAGTTGTATATTTTGCACTAAAATTGCAGGCCAGTGACGATGTTGCTCTATCCTCTGTACGTAATATTATTATATAAAAAAGTGCTCTTCTTTCCTTATTAAGTTGATATTTTTCAGTTGATATTGTTGGATTCCTTTTGAATATATATTGTGTAGATATGCATCAATAATAGCTATAGAGAGCACTTCCAAGTTGGATGATGAACAATGGCTTGCTTATTGGATTCTCTATTCTTTTCTTACACTTGTGGAGATGCTGCTTCAACCCATTCTTGACTGGTAAGTTATTACTTAGCATTCCCAGAGGGAGTAGAATAGATGAGTTTATTCACTCATTTTAGTTTTAAACGGTCAAAATATCATAAGTTATTATTTATTTACTTTAATTTTGTTTTTCTGAATTTTGATTTAGGATACCAATATGGTACGATGTGAAGTTGATAGTTGTGGCATGGCTAGTTTTGCCCCAGTTTAGAGGAGCTACTTTTATATATGAAACCTACGTTAGGGAAAAGCTAATCAAGAAATATGGAGAATCACATCAGCATAAGTCTCCTGAGGTCAAGGCCAAAAAGAAATCTGTACACTTCATTACTCCAAAGACGGTGAGTTAATTTGATCAAGCAAATTACAGTGAGTTTTTTCATAATTTATGTTTAATTAGCAAAATATTAAAGCCTTTATTGTAAACAACAACAACAATAATAATGCCTTCAAGTTAGGGTTGACTATAATAATCCTCATTGACCATTTTAATAAATATAATTAACAGTCTATTTTCTTGGATAGGGAGAAGATGAAGCTTACTAAGGAGCATGTATGATCGATGTTCAAGTTTGCTAGCTGTTGTAATTTTAATTTGACACTGGAAGCATACTTTGTATTACGGACAAGCTTATTATGAGATCTGTTATGCATGTTGCTGATATCGATATTATTATGAATATATATGAGTTTAACTTTTATATACTAAGCCTATAAAAAGAACTTTTACACTATATATATATATATAGAGAGAGAGAGAGAAAGAGAGAGAGAGAGAGAGAGGTAAACTTAGTTTTAGCCAAGAATTTGTATGTGTAAAAAATCCAGTAAATAATTACTCCATCTGTTTCAATTTAGATGAGGTAGTTTGTCTCGACACGGAGTTTTAAAAAAAAAAGACTTTTGAAACTTGTAGGCTTAAAAGTTTAAGGGGTAAAAGTTTTGTGAGGCCGTGACATTTGTGTGGTTGTAAAAACTTCTGATTTAGGGTAAAATGGATAAAATAAAGAGTTTAAAATTGAGTTATTTCCAAATTTAAAAATGTGTCATTTATTTTTGAACGAGACTAAAAAGAAAAATACCTTATCTAATTTGAAATGGAGGGAGTAGTACAATTAATATATTTCTCAGAGTAAGGAGACAGGAATAGTTAGAGTTCTATTTCTAGGAAGGGAGAGACTATGGGAAGCTCACTTTCGACTGGTCTTTGCTTGCCAATAGAGATGTTGAATAAACGGATTCTTGACCTCAAACTGGTACACACACTCTCTCTCTGGGGTCAGAATACTTGGACCTAGGTAGTTGGAACGACGTGAGTCGGGCCGGGTCAGTTATGGATTTACTTTACTCTTCAGGTCAACAGCTTTCTTCAGCATTTTTTGCCGATTTCCAGCCTATAGCAGGAGCAACCTCAATTGTCATACCCAAGCGCCAATCTCTAGAAGCTTTTCTGAACGCTGCGTAACCTCATCTTCAATAGGTTGTGATAGAATTTTGAACTTGAACACATAAAGTTTAAATCACGGTTAGTCAACAATTTATTTATGTTAAATACTGTGGAAAACCAAAAAGTACACTATGGTTTAGTTAAACCGATCTCTACTGTTTGCTTTATTTCTCTGCTTTTGATAACCTACTAATCAAAATGCTGTTAAACAAGGGTGCCATAGCAAACCCAAAGCTCTCTTCCCCCAATGATGTTGTCTATGTAGGAAACAATATGTCACGATCCAAAATTCATTAAAGGCCGTAATGACGTCGGACACCGTTATCATGCAAGCCAACACTAAATACTTAATTTAGTTCTCATTTAATATTTTGAAATCATAATTTTCTTCAATTAAATAATAAAAGATGAACTTTACCAAGTAAATAATAATATTTTTAACAATTTCAATACTGAAAAATCCATAATCACTCCCAAAATCCGGTGTCACAAGTGCATGAGTATCAACTAGGAATGTAAAATAAAATACAGCCTCTGTCCGGAATACAAATTTGGACAGGAGAAATATAAATACACTGAAGGAGACTCTGCCGGCTGCGGGTCGTAATGTGGAATGCAGCTCACGTAGGTCCCCGCATGCATACATGCCTATACTCTCACAAGGCCACTAGTCACATATGTACCTGCACAAAAAATGTGCAACAAGTGTAGCATGGGTACGTAATCAACGTGTACCCAGTAAGTATCTAACCTAACCCCGGAGGAGTAGTGACGAGGGATCGACATAGACACTCACTAGTGGTCCAATAACATCAGGTACAGTAAAGAGATAAGTAAATATGAGGCAGAGTAAATAAATGAGGCAAATCCNTATATATCCACTATATACATATATAGTGGATCTCATCAGATAGACCGTCATAACTCAAATCGGGAAAACTCACAGATACACTGGCTTTTTGCCAAATCTTACTCACGAATCCATGAGGATATGATATAGGAAATGTCGAAGCGTAAAGACCGATCCAACATAAAAATTTAAACTTTGAACTGCCGAGGGTCGAACGGCCCGAACTATAGATACATCTATTAAACTACCGAGGCGAACAGTCCGCTCCCATGAGAGTGTGGTACATAAATCCTGCCGAGGCGAATGACTCAATCCCATAAGAGTGAAATACAAATTCCTGCCGAGACGAACGGCCCGATCCCATAAGAGTAAGAAGCTTTGACGGGTCCTTGACCCCACTCACGAATAAACGTGTGAGTTTTAATTTTTTTAACAAAAACCTTACCATGAAACATATATACCACGAAAACATGCCGTAAGAGGAGTAAAATTATTTGGTGACTAATCATGAACTCGTGTAGTCTCTACAATAGCAAGTCTAGTCTCATGTAGTAATATAAAATAGAAGAATTTAATAGGCGAGAGACTGATCAAATAGTATATCTATAGCATGATGTGAACCTAAGTCTACCCGAACAATAACATGAATGTAGCTACGTACGGGCTCTCGTCACCTCGCGCGTACGTAGCCCTCCACAATAAGTAGCACACATCAATATACAACACATAGGGGTAATTTTTCCCTCACAGAGTTAGACAGGAGACTTAACTCACTCCGACGTTTTAAAATCGGCTCCAACACTGCTCTAACACCTCAAACCGGTGACCGCCGATCCAAAACTAGTCAAATAAGATGCAGCCCAATCAAAATATACTCTAATACTCATAATTAATCAATTTATAATAATTTCCAACTCCGCTCGAAAAATCGATATAACAACTCTCGGGCCCACGTGCCCGGATTCCGAAATTTTTCAAAGACAAACACTACCCATAGCACTACGAACTCAAATATATAATTTATTCTAAATTTCATGCCTAAATTCGTGATCAAAATCCAAGAATACTAATATCTAGGTTTTTCTTTAAAATCCCGAATTTCTACTAATTTCCATGTTTAAATCTATATATAAACCATGTATTTAACCCAAAATGAGAAGAAGTCACTTAACCCATAATAGAGGATGAAGATGGCACTCGAAACTTGCTCCAATATCGGCTCCCATAGACAAAATGAAGTGAAATTGAACCCAACTCTCCTTTTAAAGAAAACACTACCCAGCCACAATCTTCGCACCTGCGGTCCAATAGCCGCTTTTGCGGCTCCACACCTGTAGAAATTCCATCGCAGGTGCGGTTCAAGCTCAACCCAATATTTCCCGCATCTACGGCCCGTCAGCACTTCTGCGACTCTTTGTGCGCAGGTGTGGTCCAGCTTCTGTGAAACTTGACCGCATCTGCGGTCCCAGCCTTCCCCAGCCAGAACCGCTTATGCGACCCTCTTGGCCGCTTCTGCGGCTCCGCACCTGCGGCCAAAATCTCACAGGTGCGGTTACACCATATATCAGCTACCTTAGCATTTTTCTTAGTCCAAAAATCGATCCGTTAAGCATCCGAAACTCACCCGAGGCCCCCGGGACCCTAACCAAACATTCCAATAAGTCCTAAAACATCATGTGAACGTAGTCGAGCGTTTAGGTCACATCAAACAACGCTAAAAATACGAATCACCCTCCAATTCAAACTTAATGAACTTTAGAACTTCAAACTTCTATATTCGATGCCGAAACTATCAAATCACGTCCGATTGACCTTAAATTTTGCACACGAGTCACAATCGACATTACGGACCTACTCCAACTTTCGGAATCAAAATCCGACCCCGATATCAAAAAGTCAACTCCCGGTCAAACGTCTAAAAAACCTTCAAATTTCTAACTTTCGCCAAATGACCCCAAAATGACCTACGGACCTCCAAATCCACATCCAGACGCGCTCCGAATACCAGAATTACCCTACGGAGCTATTCCTAGCCTCGGAATTCCAAACGGATATCGATAATATTGAAATTCACTTCAACCCAAATTTATGAATTTCTTCCAAAATACCAACTTCCACAATAGGCGCTGAAATGCTCCCGGGTCATCCAAAACCCGATCCGGACATACGCCCAAGTCCAAAATCATCATACGAACATGTTGGAACCGTCAAATCTCAATTCTGAGGTCGTTTACTCCAAAGTCGAATCCTCTAATTTAAGGCTTCCGAAATTAGAATTTTCTTTCCAAATCAACTCCGAACTTCCCAAAATTCAATTCCGACCACATGTACAAGTCATAATACCGGAAGTGAAGCTACTCATGATCTCAAACTTCCGAACGACACGCTAGAGCTCAAAACGACCGGTCGGGTCATTACATTCTCTCCCACTTAAATATACGTTCGTCCGCGAACGTGCTAAGAATTGCTCTGGAGTTGTCCGAAATCATTGTTTAACTCCTCGTGCACCTACCCGTGCTACCACAATCCAGTTGAGCGCATTTTCTCGAGCAAACCTGAAAATCCTCCCTTTTATCTAGTCAAATAAGCCTTAGAGCCAAATTCCAACATCTAAAATTCTCTACCAGGTCTGTTTCTAACATACGAACACTGTATCCATCACTACATGATATACCAACACATGATTGTATACTCTTACTGAATTCTTACCATGCACCGCGTAACTCATTTGCCTAAGGCAATCTTTCCGAGGTACAACAACTAAAATTTCCACTGATCCAAAGCCCGTGGTGTACCTCATGACCAATTAAGCCTTGCTTTAACTCTCGCAATACTACCACGACAGAGAAGATATGTAGAACTCATAACCACCTGCCGAATCACAATTTATGGAGTCTCTCCTCCCGACAAGAACCATTACCTCATTCTAGACTGAATAACAATATTTACTCTTTAATATGCTTCATATAAATCTAATCATACTGATCCCATGTCCAATAATCTCGTCTCACCCAGTACAAGCTGCTTAGGCAATAAGCCACCTCAGACACTACCAAAAATCTCGTATGATGCCACAATGTGCCAACAAGCTACAAACTCGAATGTGATACATGAGGAAAAATGAACTCTAGAAAGAACTACTCAACCCACGTAGCTAATTTAAACAACCGAAAAGATATCATGAACCTTCGTCAGAAAATGAGAAGCAAATCACACAATAATAGATATGGGAAACTGTACTCAATATCACATTTTTGCGACGTACAACCCGATCCACACATGATACCGTTGCGGCGTGCAACTCGATCCAACCATGATACCCGTGGCAGTGTGCCACCCGATCCAAATAACATATCTG